CTTAAAAAATCACCCGTTATATTGTTGGTGATACTGCAAAAGGTTATATTTCACTTATTACCTCTGGTGCTTAACAGTGGCTACACACGACGAGCATATCCGCGCACATGCGCACATGCTCGTCGTTTGTAGGGCGGTTTGCGCGCATGCTCGCCAAAAATCAAAAAATTTTGATTTTCAGCGAGCATGCTCGTCGTTTGTAGCGTGGTTTGCGAGCATCGCATTGGAAACAAAAACAACAACCTCATTTTGTGTTGATGCTTGCAGTGTGCACATCGCGGATAAATGCATCGAAGCCATGTGCGTTAATTGAATTTTTGATAAATGAGGCTAAATTACTATATGTATATGTATGTACATACATATAAGTAAAATATAAATAAATTTAAGTAACACATACATAAAAAACCCTAATCATAAGTATTTCAATTGCATCATCCGCGTCTTTCCTTTCCATGTTTACGCTTTGAGTACAAAATCACTTATGAGCCGCTCGCCGTTTGTAGCAAACGACAGCCAGCATGTTGGCGCACATGTGCGCGGATATGCTCGTCGTGTGTAGCCACTGTAATTGATCTGCTATCTGTACCTGATCGCTTCTGGCAATGGTTCATCTTCATCAGACAAAGGTACACAGTTTTGTCATTCGTTTATGATGGAGTACGTATTTGCAAATGCGTTCCGGTGCAAGTAAGAGACCTCCTCCCTACTGCTCCTATGTTTCTCACCAATTTGAATGATTCTTCTTTTGTTCGGAAGGTATTATTTTCCGGTAGGTGCCTGATTTGGCTTCACCATCTATGAATTTTTAAATTATTTAACAGAATATATATTACTGCACCAAACAATATATGTAAGTGAGCTAGACGATTAACAGGTGCTGATGGACTTAAAACACTTCCCAGGCAAAATGAAAAAGTGTGTGAAAAAAGTGAAGTGGTCGAATTTCGACAACGGGGCGATACTAGTTATTATTAATGGCTTAAAAATGCTTTTCGTTAGGAGTCCCTGAAAATATGTGCATACATGTTTATGTTAAACTAAGATTCTTGTTTATTTACAAAGCATTTAAATCTATTTCAATCTTTATGCATAATGCCTTTATTTCGCAAAAAATACACTTGAAAAATACTCAAGTACATGTGTACGTGGGATCAATTTGGAAAGGTGTAAATTATGTAAATGTATGTACATATGTACATAAACAAGTTGATTGATCTTAAAGGGAATATATGTATGGAAGTACTAAGGAAATACATATGTATATATGAGCAAATTAAAAGTCGTTACAATCGTTACATTCGCATGCTCCCGCGCTAGTGCTGTCATCACTTTACAAATTTCCCGTTTCGAACACCAAAATCGTTCACCCCACTTTCTCAAAATGTTAGCTTTCTGAACCTGCTTTGTATAACTAGAAACTTCAGCACATTTTAAATAATATAGGAATGAATGTTTTGTATATTTTGTTTAGCTAATGAACGTTTTGCCGTTTATATTATTTTGTTTAAATTAATTCATGAACCGATGAAAAATTTGAAATCGAGTTTTACCTCACAAAGCACTCATCCATACGTAAGTATGTGTATGCATAAATTTGGGTTGTTTTTTTATTTTTCGCCCGTGGGTGCCCGAAAATGTGCATTTTGAGTTTCGTTTATTGCTTCTGACTTTGAGAGAGTAATTTTAGTTTCTCACTAGCCCGATCGAATTTGTAAGAACTTGGAAAATTCCAAAAGAATTTTAAAATTCCTAATTTTAGCTAGTAATTGTCTGAATATTTTGTTGTATTTATTTGATTGATACGTGAGGAAACATCAAGTGAACTATTAATTTAAAGTTATTGTGTTCGCTGCAGCTCAAATTTTCAATTTATAATATTGTGTGATTTGACGTCTAGTTTCGGGCACGAATTGGGGTTTTGCTTTCTTGTGTTTTTCGGGACTTACTTCACTTTCGTGAGAGCATTTTGTACTTACGCTCTTTTGTCCAAAAATGTAAAAAACAAACTTTTTATTATCTAAACAAGTGTACTAAGTTTTCTTAGGTCGGTGTTATGCAGACAAACTTTTGTTTGCCAAATTAAATGNTGGTTATGTCGAGTTTGGCACAGGGTTGCACGTTCATTATGGTTTTCATGGCTATTGCCAACACGAAATGAGAATTTCAGATGTACATAACGCGCACAATTTAAAATTTTTGTATATGACAACACCGAATTTGCTGCAGTTTGACCAAACAAAATTAGTTTGCTGTGAGAGTCGCCAAACTCGCTCTCTCCGAGTTTGCTACAACAACAATTGCACGCAGTTTGCCAAACAAAATTTCTGCATAACACCAACCTTAAAAGTCAAACCTATTCTATTTCTATAAGAGCAATCATTTTACTTTCGCCCTTATACTTAAAGCTACTTAGCGACAGTTAAAATCGAACCGACAACACAGTTTCGCAGAGGAATTTAATTTCTCCCACGGTGGAGAGCCTACATTATATTCTATTCCATGATTCAATAATACCATGGTGGAATTATACAAGGTGTTGTACGTAGTGACAGCTCATGTCGACAGCTCCCTTACAAAAGGTTGTAATATGGAAGCACGAGAGAAACGGGAAGAAAAAAAGCCCGCTTTGCGAAGTAGTACGAAATTTGGTACTATTTTTCATATAAAATTTTGCATATAAATAGTTACAAACGGTATATTATGATAAGCTAAATTCGCGAAAGTAGTATATATAACGTAGTACTTATGCAATAAATGGTAATTTAGTTTATTAAACACAATGTCCTATAATTATAGTCAAACTTCCAAAACCAAAAAATTAGTGGTGACCCCGAGTCGTTACAACATGACGGAATCGACAAAAGGGCGAATCGACGGATGTGGAGAATATTTCATCGAACAAAATGCCAACTAAAGATGTGGAGCTTGCATCGCAATGCAAGCTGCGACCGTTCTGAACTGAGATGCCAGACAAATGGTTTCTACAAATTGAGGCCACCTTTCAGTCGTACAAGACCACATCTTATGTCGGTAAATATAATCTGGTCCTCTCAGCAATTAGCAGCGATGCTTTAAAGGAAGCTGCGGATGTTTTAAAAACCTTACCAACTTAAGACCGATATATTAACCTCAAAAGTCAACTACTTTCACGTTTTACTGATTCAGCCGACCCACATAGGGTATTTGGCTGATTTAGGCATATTTTTATCGCTACAAACATCAAATATAGTTTTAGTTATCGAATAAAACATTCACTATAACTACCCTGTTACTAATAGAAAATTCAATCGTAGTGAAATCTTATTTATTGTCAATATTATTGTGGCTTATTAACATTTGTTTCCATATTGTTATTGAGCTTTGTAGCACTATTTTTAGGGAAAAGGGAAATAGCAACAAAGTCTTAGCGGTAGAAGTTACCAAAAAAACAGTTATATCAGTTATCAGTTAATCAGTTTTGGAATAGGGAATGAGGTAGTTTAGTACTTTTTTAAAGGCGATAAAATGTAGTTTTTTCAAGAGGGAAACACTGATATAGCTAAGGGAGCCAAGATGGCGGATTAGAGCGAGAACGCTGTCAATATCCAACACCTTGTATTATTCCACCATGCAATAATACAAGGTTAGATAATTATTGACAGCTGCGGTTTGACACTCCCTTACAAAAGGTTGCATTTACGAAGGACAGAGAAAGGGCAAGAATGCAATCCCTTGTTTCGAAAATGGTAGTAGAAAAGTACGCAAAGTAGGCAATTAGTAGTGAAATTCCTTTCGTAAATTCTAATGTATTTGCAGGAAATCTTGCATTTTAAACGAAATGTTGAACGTAATATTGATATATCTACGTGAATTACGTAATTTATATGCTATTTAGCCGTATAAAAACTGCAAAATGACTCAAAATTAAAATAAGACTACTATGAGATTGATGTAAACATCCAATGCTTAGGTTTTCATCAGTTAAATATGCTTCATATGCATATAGTTACAAATAAACATATTGCACAAAAGCTTATACTTTTATTTCACACCAAAGCTACACTGTTTCCATGTAAATTTTCAAAGAAGCAACACGGTGCCACTGCTAAGGGAGCGGTGCGAGAGAGACAACTGTCAGTTTATCGAACCTTGTATTATTGAATCATGATTCTATTCTATCTATTCTTGCATTTCTCCTGCAAATCATTTTTTCCCTGTTCTCCCGCTCTCTGTTTTGAGAGCGAACAGTGCAAGGCGAATTCATTGCTACATGTATTTCTATACGTAAATAGCAATTTCGAGAAATATCAAGAAAACTGTTCTCGACCATTCTCTCTTGGGCTGATTTTATATAAATAGCGGCCGAAAATTTCTCCTCCGCATAGTTCAAATTGAAAAGTCAAAGCGAATAAGTGAGAAGCTATTTAGCAAAACAAACCAAGAAATAAAAACAAGTTTAATTTTTCAAGTTAAATTACATCAAGGAAATATTATTGTAATTTGTGAATAAAAAGGTTAACAACACAGCAGTAAAAATGGTAGCGATTGGAATTGATTTGGGAACTACTTATTCCTGTGTTGGAGTTTTTCAACACGGTAAAGTGGAAATAATTGCGAACGACCAAGGCAATCGCACAACACCAAGTTATGTGGCGTTCACAGATTCAGAGCGGCTCATTGGTGATGCCGCAAAAAATCAAGTTGCCATGAATCCAAAGAACACGGTCTTCGACGCAAAGCGATTGATTGGACGAAAGTATGACGACGAAAAAATTCAAGCGGACATGAAGCATTGGCCTTTTACAGTGGTCAACGACTGCGGAAAGCCAAAGATCAGCGTGGAATTCAAAGGTGAACAGAAACGCTTTGCTCCCGAAGAAATTAGTTCGATGGTGCTGACTAAAATGAAAGAGACAGCTGAGGCATATTTGGGTACGTCGGTGCGAGATGCAGTTATTACAGTACCAGCATACTTCAATGATTCACAACGTCAGGCCACAAAAGATGCAGGAGCCATAGCAGGACTTAATGTTCTACGTATTATAAACGAACCAACAGCAGCAGCTTTAGCCTATGGTTTGGACAAGAATCTCAAAGGTGAACGGAACGTGCTAATCTTCGATTTGGGCGGTGGTACCTTTGATGTTTCCATCTTGACAATTGATGAAGGTTCATTGTTTGAAGTTCGTGCAACTGCCGGCGATACTCATCTAGGTGGAGAGGACTTTGACAACCGTCTCGTTAACCACTTTGCGGAAGAATTCAAACGCAAATATAAAAAAGATTTGCGGACGAATCCAAGAGCATTGCGTCGTCTAAGAACAGCGGCAGAGCGGGCAAAACGAACACTGTCATCCAGCACGGAGGCGACTATTGAGATTGACGCTTTGTATGAAGGTGTAGATTTCTATACAAAAATTAGTCGAGCTCGCTTTGAAGAGATGTGTGGTGATTTGTTCCGCAGTACATTGGATCCCGTAGAGAAGGCTCTTAATGATGCGAAAATGGATAAGAGTCAGATTCACGACATTGTACTCGTTGGTGGTTCAACACGCATACCAAAGGTCCAAAGTTTACTTCAATCATTCTTTGGAGGTAAGAGTTTGAACCTTTCTATCAACCCAGACGAGGCTGTGGCTTATGGTGCAGCGATACAGGCAGCCATATTGAGCGGTGATAAGAGCAGCCAAATTCAAGATGTGCTTTTGGTGGACGTGGCACCATTGTCACTTGGAATTGAAACTGCTGGTGGAGTGATGACAAAACTTATAGAACGAAACAGTCGCATTCCATGCAAACAGTCAAAAACCTTTACAACTTATGCAGATAACCAACCCGCAGTCACCATCCAAGTGTTTGAGGGCGAACGTGCCATGACCAAAGATAATAATTTGTTGGGCACTTTCAACTTAACTGGAATTCCACCAGCACCGCGTGGTGTTCCCAAGGTAGATGTTACATTTGATTTGGACGCCAATGGCATTTTGAATGTGACTGCAAAGGAGATGAGCACCGGAAATGCGAAGAATATAGTCATAAAGAACGACAAAGGACGTCTATCTCAAGCAGACATCGATCGTATGGTTAATGAAGCTGAAAAATATGCGGAGGAAGACGAGAAACAGCGCCAACGTGTTGCTGCTCGCAATCAGCTTGAGAGTTATGTGTTTAATGTAAAGCAAGCAGCAGATGAAGCCGGCAGTAAACTAAGTCAGTCGGATAAAGATCATGTCCTCGAAAAGTGTAGCGAGACAATTAAATGGCTGGATGCCAATACCACTGCCGAAAAGGAGGAGTTCGAGTACAAATTGGAAGAGTTGACGAAGATCTGTAGTCCCATCATGACAAAAATGCACCAGCAGGCAGGCGCTGGCACACAGCCTAGTAATTGCGGCCAGCAATCTGGTAATTTTGGTGGAGGCAAATATGGTGGACCAACTGTGGAGGAAGTGGACTAAATATGCAATGTTTGTGTTAACAGTATTATTTATTCAATTTCGTCAAACAATTGATACTCATACATTTTAGAATAAGTTGCTTATGTTTTTAAAACTTTAGATATTAAATTAGTTTCATGGAAGTATTGAATAGTTTTGTGGAAGACTGAGCTTAATCCTTGAGTAATATGAATTCTAAGACATTTAATTTAACTATTTATACATATAATAAAGCCGGCTGGCTGCTTTCAAAATGTTTTAAACAAAAAAAAAAATATGTTTTTTATTCGTAATTTTTTTTCTTTCTACCAGCAAGGCCCATGATGCAATACTACGTTATGAGCAAGGCTTTCTATAGTGAATATCGATGACTGAGGGAGGGGTAGATAGACCCATGATCGTGGATCGACCTACATATCTCGGAAGCCAGCTCGAAAACGCCCTATCTCAGAAAACTTTTGAAAGGACGTGCTATTTTCGTTTGAGATAGGGCACCTCAACCGAATTCTGAGATAGGTTTATTATTCAACCAAATGCTGATAAGGTGTTTTTCAATAAAAATCTGAAATAGGGCGTTTTTCAATCAAATTCTGAAGTAGGGCTTTCTTGAAAAGTTTTGAGATAGGGCGCTTTTGAACTGGCTGCCGAGATATGTCGATCTTCCACTCAACCATCGATATCGTCACCTGAAATGCAAAAGGACGTGACTAATAAATGTGGAGAGTAGTAATGCATCAAAAGTTAATTTAATTTTCGTTTAATAATCGTTTTTCTGAAAACTCAGATCATTGCTTTTCATATCAAACTTTTAATCGGTCTTATGGGGGCTTCTTTCATATATGTATCCTTAAACGTTGCCCGATCAAGAATAGAAAATAATGACATTACAAAGTCAACCTAGAAACAAATTTCCCGTTGCTCATTTCCTTCAATAGTGTTACAACTCAAAGAAGCAAAACTCGACAAATGCGGCTTTAAATCTTTGAATTAACATACTTTGACTTCCATTGTAAGAATTAACTCATTTTTTGTTCTAGCGAGATACTGGTGATCTATGGCATTTTTACACAACATGGAAGAAGAATTAGAGGTAATTTCTGCACACCCAACTCAAAATTTATATTTTTTAGATTATGACTATTGAAGTAAATGAGCGATATGTACATACATGGTTGTTAATTTTAAATTCAATTCTTTAGTGAATAAGTAATATACCAATTTTAGAGCAGAGCTGAACTTTGAAAAAAATTTGGTGGCGCTTCTCAATCTACAAAAGTTCTTTGAAAATAAAATAATAAAAAATAATAATAACAAAATTGATTATAAAAGCAAACTATAGGTTGGATTAACTTTAAAATATTTCGTATGTTCGTTCGGGAGGTTATGTTGCGAACATTACTCTTTCTGCCGTTGAAAAAAAATCGATTTTTGGAAGCGATATTATAGTATTTTATTAAGAGGTATGGTGCTTAAAACTAAGGCTATTCAGAGCTTTGTTTCAAGTAGTAAAATGGGACAAATCAGATTTCTCAAATGAGTGTGATAAGAAATATGAAATTGGTAAATATTGTACTATGCTATTTTTGATACAAAAATGCGAGAACTTTAATAGCCTTTCTCGGATTCGCCAATATGCGTGTGCATAAATGTGTAACGATGGAAATCCAAACGGATTTACAGACAGCAAATGATTTTCTAGTGGAAGCCAGTTTAAGAAAAGTTCTATTTATCAAAAATATTTTACGTAATTTCCCTAATACTCTATTAATACGGTTTATTTAATAATTGTTGGTATGCAAGTTGCATGATCTGCCGTCTTTAATTTGTTGTATACGGATAAAATCTGGATATACGGTAATATCGACTCTTTTTATCCGTACATCCGGTGTTCTGTTTGAAATTCAAACACATTTTGGAAAATCCGGATAACCAAATAGACGGATATCAACGGGATCAAATTTATGAAATGTAGTAATTAAAAAAATGTTATCTACTACTGAAATACAGATAATAAGTGCACTTTAAAATAATAGTTTTTTTTTTGGGATGCCAAAAATGGATACTTCGGTTTTTTCCAAAATACTGCATTTATACTTTTTTCGATACCTAAATTTTTTAATACAAATAAGCAGTATAAATTGATCAGTCGATGATATGTAAAAACCGATATAAGATAACAGCGATGCCACGCCCCTTTTCTAAGATTGTATGGAAAATAAATTGTTTGCTTAAGAGGCATTGTATATATCAGTTTTTAGTAAATATTGATGGGCTCCTTAGCCACACTGCCCAAAATAGTGAACGCCGGGTACATACACACATATAAAATCAATATGCGCCTTAAAAGTAGTTTTGTGTTGTTTGATACCCGTATTGTAATATTTCATTGATTTTATCAAATTTATTAAGTACAATTTTTCAAACAGGTGGAAGCCCTTCACACAAATATTTTCGGCAGTAAACTTTCCTTAACCTCTTTAGTTAGTAGATACCCATTAATATTTCAATATTTAATTTATCTTATCAGTTAAATTAAATTAAAATTTTCAAACATGTGGCAACATCCTCCAAAATATTTTCGGGTATAAACCTTCTTAAACCTCTTTCATTTGACACCCATACTGATATATTTACTTTATCTTATCAATTTATTTAAACTACAATTTTCAAACAGGTGGCAACTCGCAAAGTTTTTTCTTTCTATATTTTAAATTAGACCTCTAGCAATACATCGGTGAAGACTGCATTGAATTTCATGCATTATTTTTCGAGTGGTGCACGTACAAACATAAAGACAGACAGACAGACATACAAAAATTCTAAAAATTATTGATTTGGCGTCTATTGCTCTAATAAAGACCCACCATTTTAATTTTTCTTTAATATCTATAATGTACACCCATCGGCCTGTTACAATTTTATTATATGTAAGTTTTATAGAAATTTTCGATATAAGCGATGGTCAAAGTAAAAAAATTTAGGAAAAAAGGTTTTTGTAATTGTGCCCAATGAAAAGTCCCAACAAACTAAGTCTAACAATAAATTGTTATACATCATTTTAAAGGCCTATAAATCAAACATGTTATGTTTTTAAAATCGGATCAATAGATAGGTGCATCATGTAGGAAGATAACGGTTGTCTGAAAAAAAAAACATTAAATTCAGGGTTCAGGAGCTATACGGAACCTGTTTTCATGTTGTACTCCACCATACTAGGTTTGGTTTCGGGTGCATTTGATGATTTGTTTTTGACGTAGAGTACGTCTTACGTTTCGATATGTAGGTTATGCTCAAATGTTGTAGTTGTAATTTTTCGAGCTTCACGAAAACGCTCATTGCACGAGAACTAATGAAGCGATTTCAAAGAAAAGTGTTAAGTTTCAAAGACTAAATTCCAAGCTTTTCGATAGATTTATCCGGTAAATATTGGGATTTTTTGGGGTAAATTTTGAGCTTTTAAAGTGCTCTAGCAATTTATGATTCGCCGATATAAATTTCATTTTCGGGATATAGGTTCTTTGGAGCAATTGAAATATTATCGTATAAAAAATTTTATATAAATTCAACAAATATTGAGCAGTTTAAGGCAACAAGTTTTTGAAAAAATTAGCAAATTTTTTTTATTACCAAAATGCTCGAAAAGCGCTCGAATATTTTGTCTTTGCTTACTTTAATCATAAATTCAAGTCAAAATGGCTTCGAAAAAGCTTTATTTCTTAATTACATGTGGGAGGGTTGCCACCCATTTCAAAAAGCCAATTCGACTTAATTGAAAATTGAAATGTATATCCTGATATGAATGTTAGACGAAAGAGGCTGTGGTTTGAAAATATTTTGCAAAGGGTTGCCACCTTGTTACAAAGTTAGATTCAATATAAGCAATAGGTTAAATAAATTACTTCAATTTGAATATAAATCAAAATTGCTTTGAAGATTATTTATTTCTAAACTGCATATAGGAGGATTTTGCCACCTGATTTTATAATAAATTCAGTTTGAATGAAGAGTATTAGATAACTTAGATATGTATCGCAATACAAGTGTCAGACGAAAAAGGTTTAACGAGGTTTTGGTTTAAAAATAATTTAAACAAGATTGCCATCTGTTTGAAATGTCGAACTAAATACAATTATATGAAATGTTGAAATATGGGCGTCAAATAAAGGAGTATTAAGAAATATTTAGTTAGAGCATTTATAACATTATAGAGGGTTTTCACCTGCGTAAAAAGTTAAACTCAAATTATTTAATAAGTCAAATGAATAACTAAAGTATGGGTATAAATTGACATGGGTTAAAAATATTTTCGCGTTAGAAATTAAATTCAACTTGAGTTAAATTTGTATCGCAATATGTGTGTAAGTCAGAAAACGTTCAACAAGGTTTTGTTCTAAAAATATTTTGAATAGGGTGGCCATATGTTATAAAATTAGAATTTAATTAAAGAAAGCATAAGCTCAATGAAGTATTAAAATATGACGTGAAACGAAGGTGGTAAGATATCCTTAGTTTGAATATTAACGGCCCTATTGATAAAAAATAAAATAGATTTAAAGAGCTCTATAAAGTCACATTGTCATACAAATTTTCTATTTATAAAGCAGTTAAGGTCATCTTTATTTTTCATGAATTTGGGTGTTAGAATATTAAAGAGGGTTGTCACCTGTTTATAAAGGTAAACTCAAATTATTTAATAAATTAAAGCAGATTCTTAAAAAAACAAGGGGTATCAAATGAAATGGGTTTAAAAATGCTTTATTGCAGAACTGTATTTAGGAGCGTTGTTACGTACTTAAAAATCAAATTTAACTTAATTCATCAGGCACCTAAAATATGTACCTATCACAATATCAGACGCACGAGATTTTTTTTTTATTTCTTAACTATATTTAGGAGAGTTGCCAGCTGTTTCAGAAGTCTTAGCTAACTTATGCACAAATTCGAAGACGAGGATAATGAGAAGACGAGCACGAACACGAAGAACTACGGGGACCTAGAATAATAAAAAATGTAATACAAATT